GTTAGAAAGTTGCAGGGGAGGGGCCAGCCACAGCTTCTCTGGGCACCCTGTGCCAGCGCCTCAGCACCCTCACAGGGAAGAACTTCTGCCCAATGTCTAATATAAATCTACCCTCTTTCAGACATAATACTAGGGGGTGATATTTATCTTCCAGCATCCTCCAAAGACAGATTTAGGGCCCAATCAACCCCATCAATACTATCACTCCAAAAAGATTTTGAGTATCTTAACTCCTGGTCTCAAAAGGCAGTAATTTGGCACCTGTTTTAGTTTTGTGATGAAGAGGAGGAGGAAGAAAGGGGCAGCTGGTGAGGAGAAGGACTTGATGTAGTGCTGATAGAGATGCTGATAGTCTGTTAGGAGTTTACATATAATAGGAAACTCATCATGTTTCCTGCTGGGATTTGAACATTTCTCCTGGGATTAGAATACCCTCCAGCCGATTGTGGAGGGCCAATTGATCTGCTTTGAGCTTGGCCGGGCATTGGAGCAGTCATTAGCTGCCTCTGCTTATAGACCAGGCAGGCATGGCTGGACATTGCCACAGCAAAAGCAGCCCATGGTCTGCAGAACTTCTGCCCAACAAGATAAAGACAGAACATGGCATTCTCAGGGAGAAGATTGACCCTAAAAAGAACCAAAGAGGGGTAGAGGATGAAGTGCAGGACCTCCAGTTCAGCACATTTTCCACTATGCAACCCAAAGACACTGTTGACAGACAGAGAAACCAGATGTTTCCACAGCACCTAAACACACTACACCAGGGTAGCCACAGAACAGCCTACAATTTATGAACCAGTTTTGGACTGGAGTTAACACAGAAGAAATGCCTTTCCAGTGAAGGTCTCTGGCAGCAGCCAGGCACTGGGGAGAGTGCCTCAACCCAAAAGGTCCCAGAGGAGCACAGAACAGTGTTTACAAAAGGAAAAGTTGAATAATGAAAGAAAACAACACAGAAACAATGGTCCTTCAAATCTTTTTCCTACTTAACATCCAAAAATAAAAAGATGTGATAAAGCTAAAAAAGATCGTTGCCTTCTGACTGCAGAGGCACAGCTCCACATTTTCACTGTTCTGGCTGCTTGGAGATAGATCACAGCAGCAGGTACCAACTGTTTGCTTCAGCAGGTTATTTCAGCATCAGAAAGATTCTGCCTGTTACTATTTTGTGTCAGTCTACAGGCACATCTCCTTAGACTACACAGACCCTTGTCATCTCATAACTTTACCTCCTACAAACTCTCCAGTTTCTTTCCCAGGTTCTCAGCAAACCAAGCAGCATTTGACATTAAAGCCAAACTGTAACTTTCCAACATGCAGTTTGAAATGGAGAACAGAATTAAAAATGCCTGTCATCTTTCAAGCCAGAAAGACTTCGGAAAAGTCAGGCACGGGTGGAATTGGAGGAGACCAAGCAAGACCGAAGGTACTCACACACATGACTGGAAAAGAGCCACTGTCCCAGTCTCACCACTCAAAACACAGAAGATTTTGAGATTTGCAGAAGGAGATTAGAAAGGAGAAGGACCTACAGCTGTAGATACTGCCAGATGTCTACGGAAGGAAGCCACAGAGTTTGTAACAGCATGTTGATAGACCTTCCAGACCTAACCCCACTCACTTGGTACGAGCCTTCCTGTGCCACCGAGCTGCACAGGTAACAAACAGCCTTCTCCTTCGTGGAACAGCCAGACAGCCCTTCAAACAGGCTGGTGTGCATCTCGCCTCCATCCTTCTCTGGCTTGTCACCCTCTGGTGATGTTTTATAAAGCCTTTACAAAATCTATTTTAAACTGAGACTTCTCAAACATATTTATGCTTTAATGCTCACCATGACGGCCCTGTCACACATGTTAAGCTGTGGCTCCCCTGGCACCATGGTCACTTTGTGCTGCTGGACAATGACAGATATTTGCTCCATTGCCCTCTGGTATTCATTGCTGGCAAAACTAGAATGTGAAAAAAACACAGATGTTATTAGTGAGGCTTCATACATGGCATCATTACAGTGTCCACATCATGGAGCTGGGTCAGGAGACTTGTCCTGGGCCACAATAAAGAAGAAGAGTACATAAACTTGCAATTGACACTAACTGCCCACAGGTCCGTAGGGGAATGAAACATCTGGGCTGAGAGAGTTCAACCTGGCGAGCCCTGGAGGCTTTGCTCCAGGATGCTCTGCTCAGGGCAGCAAGGATGGCACATGGCTTGCCCTCGCCAAAGAAGCACATGGCTCCTGATGGGTCATCTCCACATGGGGCTTCAGCTCTCAAAACTGCTGTTCCCAAATGTGTTTCTTCCTAGGCAGGCAAATAACACTGTAAGCTCATGTTGAGTCCCGAGGGGGATCTTTTTGGCAAACGTGGTAGGTACAAAGAAAGGTGCCTGCCCTTGAGCTGTGCCTTAAATGATTATCAAGGAAGACTTGCTACAACACAGAACAAACCTTGCCAAACACATTAGTACACAAACTAGCCTGCAGAGGCTCTCTGCACGTTCACTGTCCACTCTTTCAAGTGCTTTTCCCTAATGTGTATTGAAACAAAGGTAATGCCAATACTTTGTTTTCCACATGTTCTCAAGCTAAGGGTTTAGAATACAACCCTCGGGTAGTAAAACTTCACAATCACCAAGTAAGATGAACTAGTATTATGCAAACAGGAAGATGGAGAAGAAGAATAGAAGTGACTTGTCCAAGACAAGAATACCTCCTCCATTTCGCAACCTCCCAGGGTTCTGCCCCATCTACATTCTTCCGTTACAGCTTTATTATTACAAGCTGGGACCCATCTGTCATGCTCCAAACCCTCATACAGGGTTATAAATTATGAGATTTTTATCCATCCAATTACTCTAATAGGTACTTGTTTAAGTGGTTCAGGGTGTACTTCACTAATACTTTGAGTATCTCTAAAATGGAGGATTACTACCCAATGATCTCATTTTGTCCATCATGTTAAGGGTCACTCAAAAAACAGAGAGCAGCAAATTGCTTCTGAAGATAAAAGAAACAATGCAGCTTGGTCCTGACCTCGGTCTCCCTTTGCTTACAGTCCAAGCTGGCCACCAGCCCCACACTCCAGCTAATTTCCTTCTTTGAAAAACAATCACATTTTGAAGCCCAGTAATGTGCCAACAGTTTCCAGTAAACCCTATAAATATCACATCTCGGCAGCCATCCAGAGAGAAGCTGATTGTGGGGATGGGCCTGAGCTTTGCTGATAGAGAACAGGAAGGGAATTTGAAATGACAAGCTTGAGCAAACTAATCTGTTGCTCTCACACCCAGCTAGCTGTATCCTGGTGGAGAGACTATCGCTGGGACTGGCTGTGTCATCTGTATGGGCCACCCTGAAATTCAGACTGTTCTTGTGAAGCTCCTGAATTTGCTTCCTCCTCTCCCACCTTAGCTCCTACAGCAGCCAGCTGATTACTCCCGCACTGCCCCAAAGACAACTGAAAACAGCAGACAGGCAAGTGTTTGGGAGCTGCCAAAGACCATCTCTGACTCCTGCCCTGATGAAGACACTCAAGGCAGCAATCACTTGGCTCAGCCAGGGTTGCATCCGGTGGCACAATGGCCTTTCAGCTTGGTGAGATTTTATCTGGAAGCCCTCTGGTTTCGTTTCAAAGCACAGCATTGCCAGCCTGCTTGAGAGAAAGAAAAAAAGGAAACAGGTTTTTACAAGAGGCAGGGAGGGTTTAAAGCTAACCTGTGCTGACATGCAGAGGACAGCAAACACAGGAGAGCCTGCACACGGAGAGGAAAGGCTGCAGACAAACACACTGCCTAAAACCACAGGCGAGTGCCAGGGTTGCGCACAGCATGTTGGACATCTGAGCTGGAGACTGGATGAAACAGGGGAGCCAGAAACCCTGTAAAGCTGGTGATGGAAGTGGAGATGAAATGCAGTTTAGGGAGACACATGTATTTCAGTGTTTTAGATTTCTAATGCAGCTATTGTGCCAGGATTTGAAAGCTCTTCCAAACCCAAGCTAATCACACTTTATTAAGATCCTTAGATGAAGGATTAATATTAATTAATACATATTTTAAACGATTGTTAGAGTCTAACTGATACTCCAGATATCAAATAGTTTAATTCCTCCTCCTGCTGCTCTTGTAACTATCCAACTTGTTTATTTATGTCACATTCTTGTGTCATCTCTCCAGCATTGAAGATCTTCTTTTGGAAGTGGACTCATAAGATAAAATGTTGCTGCTAACTAATTAAGCTCCACAGCATCTTTGCAAATATTTAAGTGCTAAAGAGATAGCCGAATTTCATCCATCGGAACAGCTTTTCATACATCGGATTCCAAATTAGCTGTAATCTGGACAGACCAGTGGAAAACACAGCTGTGCTCTGGATGACAGATAAACAATATGTTGTCATGACTGCTGCTTTTTGCTCCAAATATGCCAGTCCTCTTGCAATGAAAAAAGTCTTTTTGCTGTAATCCAAACTCCTGCGTTTATCCACAGCATTGTTGCTCATTAGCAACCTAAGACATACGAATGCCACAGTATAATAAAACAGGCTTGAGTCATTTGAATCATCATCTTGCTTTAATTCCCATGTTCAGGACACTTCAGGCTTTTTCAGCTAGCTCAGCAGTGACAGGAAATCTTGGCCTAACCTCAGCTCCTGGTGTTTTTGAACTGCTCTCCCCTGCAGCTTCTACACTTTTAGATTATTTCAGCATTTAGCACAGGCTGAATGACTTCCCCAAAAGCATGATAGAAATGGCTTGGCACACATAAAGGACTCGCACTTCCCACATAAGTACAAAGCTGGCTAAAGCTAAAGAACATGTATAGATTATGCTCCAAGTCAGACCGCTAACCTATAAACCTTGTCTCAGCAGGGCTTAAGATGCTCTTAAGCTGGCTAAACCTGTTGACGCTAGCTTAAAACATATCCGATTGCAGCCGTCTTCCTTGTGTTGAAGCACATGACAGTGATGGACCCCGAGTGCTGTAAGGTGTCATTCAATACTGGATGATCATCTCAGATTGTCTTCAGATGCCTCAATGGAACACATGAACTATGTTCCTCATCCAGATGTGTATCAAGGCTCCATGTATAGCAGGGGACTGTGATGCCCATAGGATGGTACCAGCCCCGGAGCTGGCATTCACAGAAACCAGAGCATCCACTGAGATAAAGCCATGCTGGCGATGGGGGTTGGTCTTCCCATCTTGGCCCCATGGAGATCCCTGTTCCTGGCTTTGATGAGCTCAGGTTTTGCTCAGACAGACCTGTTTAGCTCCACAATATCCACCAAGATCCAATATCTATGCAGCGATTTGTAAAGTATTTACTGACTGTGTGGCAAGGGTTAAAACTGTCTCCGGTCCTATGCAAGAAATGCATTTTGAGACAAAATCTGCAAGAGAAAAGTGCCTTTAATTTGTCTATAAGATAGGGATAATTACTTCATGGTAATCAGTCTAAGTTGTTAACAGAGCTGGGCACCTCTCTCACTCTTACATGGAGTCCCATCATTTCTCTGAATGCATATGCAGGACTGGGCTGCAAGTGCAGGGTTTGCTACATTCTCTGTTCCAAAAGAAGATGATATTATCTATACAGGTGTTTGGGCATTGTCTGCATGAAGACCCAGACCTCGCTGCCTCCAGGGCATGCTGCATTTTGTATTCTAGCTCAACAATCCTGCAGAAGGAGAGCTGGGAATAGCACTGGAAGAATGAGAGGCTGAGCAGGTGGTGTTGTGAGGAGTTTGCTAAAAGAGATCCCCCAGTGTACATGAAATTATTCCATGCTCAGAATGAGCGAAGAGAGTGGACAAAGTCCAGGGTCATTACACTAATTGACACTTTACCTCTGGGAAGTCTCTGGAGATCCAATCAGGGCTGGATTGCGAGCGCAGGGTCCCAGGCACAGGTGTGGCCTGTGCTTCCTTCATTTAGTGTAATTGTGCCTTGGCAAGCTGCTCCCATCTCCTCCCTCAGCAAACAGCTCCAGTGTAACCTGCTCTGCTATTAACCCCACCGTGCCCTACACCGAAATGCAGGTTTGGAAGGAGGAGGGTTTGTCTCACACACTGCTTTTGGTGTTAGAGCTCTGGTTCAATCATGCAGTCCTCAAGTCTTTCACCTTCAGGTCTGCTGGCATCCTGAGCTGTAAGGAGAGGGAGAGGGCGATTCTCCACCATCATAAATATGCCCTCAGACCAGAACCAGAGAAAATTAAAGAGCCTTTTCAGCATTGTTTTATATGTCAATCTTGATGCTTTATACTTCGTCCTGGTGATTCCTGTGCGGGCTCAGTGCAGTATGTGTATCCTGGGAGCAACAGGACCATGTTATTGTCAAGAGGAATGTTATAAAATAGGTATTATATAGTGCACTTCATAGAAACCTGACAGCAGGCTCTCAACAGTAGCTTCCAGATTTGTAGCATGTTCTAGCAAATGCACATGAAGTTATGGGAAGAGCAGAAAACTTGGGTAATGATTTGTATATTTAACTTCCTTTTGCACTGGAATTATCTTAATTAAACCCATTATTACACCCAGATTTGGGTAATTTGATTTTATCTGTTATCAGTGCTTTGAGGCTGTTCAGCACTGTAGTATCCAAGTCTTGATCTTGTATTATTCAGTCTTCCTCAGTTCCTCTCTTCCATTACCAAGTTCATCTGCAATTTAAAGTCTGCACAATACATGAGGCAGACAACAGGTTTGGGGCTCTGCTGCTGAAACTTGCAATTGCCAGAGAGGCTCAGGGCCAAAGTAAAACAAAGAAGGAATCAAAGAGCAGATTGAAGGGCGGCCTGTACCTTAATTCACATATCTGGTCCAGCAGCCATGGAGATACTCCTGGACATGTCTGGCCATGTTAGCCATACATATACTGGGAGTACTGATGATGCCTCTCACCTGTATTGGTTCTCTGGATGGTGCCCACAGCCTTCCTTGCAGCAAGGAGATGTGATTGTGCTCTACTCAGTCACCTGTTGTCACAGAAGTTGTAAGTCCCCAGCTTCAAGAATCCTGTCTTCCTGCTGGATTTCATTGCGAGCCACCACAGCGTTGAGGGCAGCAGAGGGCATAAAGGCAGAATGAGTATGTAAAACCCCAGTCTTTGTGTGAACAGGAGACAGAAAGTAACAGCTATCCATCTGATCCTCCTGCTAGTTGCTTCTGTGGTATTTCTGAATCATAATTCAAGAAATAGGTTCTTCAGGCTACTTTCTTGAGGCTGTAAGCACTGCCTGGACCATCTCTGAGGAAGATGATGTCCATTTCCAACTGCATTTTGCATTTTTGAAACTGGTTCTTTTGGCTTTTTATTTCCAATATTCCTTCTTATACAGCATCACTCAAGTCTAGACAGTTACTCACCAAAATACCTGCAAGCTGCTGGTCTGCCATGATTAAGCATGAGTTACAGGTTGATAAGACGATGTGCCACAACACAGGGTGCTGAGGCTCCTGATCCACAGCTATCCACAGTTTCAGTGTTCCTGAATGCCTTTTTTCCTGTGGCAGCAGCTAATTCACCCCAGAAATGCAGCTGGTATCATTTCCTTCTTTTCAAGAAGATGAGGAGTCAGCATCTCCCCTGGGCAAGATTCTGGCTTTTTGTTATACACAGTTTTTTACCAGTTTTGCACCTTCTCTCCTTTACCTACAGTCAGGTTTCTGCCCTGATCTCTTAGGTGAGACTGGCAACTTTTCTATCAGATCCCTTCCCCTTTAGCTTCCCTTCAGGAGCTTCTTCCCTTCTTTTCTGGCTCCATAACTAGTGCAATTACCTCTTTGATGATTTCCTGGATTTTCCATCTGCTCAAAATAGGCACTCTTGAGCTCTCTTGTTAATTAATGTGTTCTAAAATCATTATGTTCATCAACCAAGACTTATCACTTCCATTTTCTTTCCATAATAGTGGAATCTGTTGCCCTAAGTAAAACACAGGTATTTTGACACTCAGAATTTAGTAAACTCAATATACAAAGCACAAATCCCCTAGTAATTGCACCTAGGGCAGAAACAAAATACCAGCTAGACTTGGGGAAGTGCTTCTGCTTTGTGTGCTGCCTAACACACAATCTTATTTATATTTTAAAGTTGAGAGCTATAAAAAAAGAGATACCTTCTATCCCACAGCCTACACAGATCTAGTCAATCTCTTGGATGACAAAAAGACACAAACAGTTCACTTCTCACTACACAAGGACCAGATAATAAGGAAAGTCTTACTTACATCAGTGCAGTTACATTGCCATTTTTGGCAACCAAAAGAGAGATTATTCACCAGTAACCACACTTCTTTAAAATATATTGCCCATAAATACCCCAGTATTGCAGGTGTTACTACAAGCACCAATCCAGATGCCAGTGTTGCCTCATCATGTTGCCTGCAATGTTGTTGCCTGCAGTACCTGCAGGCATGTTCTTGCCTATCTCATCCTGCAGCCATATAAATGTCGAGCTCATCCTACAGTGCCAAGCTTCTCTCAACACCAGAATCCGAGAGTCCTGCAGTTCTCAGGAGAGTCACCCTCTTGCCAGGAGAAAGGGGGACAAGAACTTGGGAATGAATGAATCTGATGCTAGTGATAAGCATGTGCATCCTGAAGGCCAACTACAGAACAGGGATCTTGCTCCATCCAGTCTGTTGATGTGATGATGTAAATATGATTCTATGATTTTATGAAATATGCCATCACCTGGGCAAGCTCAGGCAGCATGAGGACTCGTAACATGCATTTGGCCCTGCTGTGAATCCCAGCTAACAAAATGCAAAGTCTGTGGGGTTGGTGGATTGCCTGGGTGAAGTTCCAGTCCAGACTGAGAAACACCAGTAATTATCTTTCAACATGGAGAGGTAAACACAACCATGTCCCTTGGCAGCAGCTGGGGTGGAGGAAGCTGTCTAGCCAAAACCAGAGGGGCAATAGCAGGAAGAAACAGTCACAGCCCTGTTGGGAGGGTCTGTTCCTGGACTCACACATGGGTAGGGATGCATGCACAGCTTTACATGAAGGGGAACAGAAGTGCAGGGTGCCATATGGCTCAGAACTGCCAGACGTGCCCTCAACATGATGACAGGACCTGGCTGTAATTGCCTGACCAGTTTTTCGACTGCATGAAAAGTACTCCTGTGGGAGATAAGCTTTTGCTGATATAGTTTCCAGGCAGGCTCCAGGAAATCCAGTGAACTGTGTAAGGAAGAGGAAGGACTTGTCCTGCTTCACTGTGACACCCAGGGAAGTGGAAACTTTACGTGCTTTCTCTACGTCTTGAAGGACTTGCATCTTCAGTGAGCCCTTTAGCAGCCAGTTCCCCAGTGAAGACTGCAAATGCTAATCCCCACGTGATGAGATGATCTGAAATCAGAGCCTCAAAAAAGTCTCCCAGTATCACACAGTACTTGCATGCAGAGTCATGACCCAATGCCATTTCAGATGAGACTGCCTGAGCTTAAGCACCCTGCAAGTCAAGTATTGCTTAGTTGACTGGGCAGACTGATTTCTAGGATGCCCTGGCTCTGAGATCCCTTGGGATCCTAACAGGAGCCCAAATATATAAGCATTACATCCCTCTGGAAGTGCGTGTGATACCTGGCCTTCATGCACCCCAACGAAACCTGCCACTCGTGGTTTTGCATGTGACTCCACTCCGAATTAATTGAAATCAAGAGACATGACAGATTATTTAAATAATTTTAGGGAGAAGAAGAAGTTGTACTAAAATAAGGAATAAGTGAAATAAAAAACTAGCAAAAGCAGGCAGAGAGGACAGGGCATCAGTGTGCAATGCTGCTCCTTCACAGCAGCAGCAATACCAATAAAATCCAGTGCAGATTTAACAAAGCAAAGTAAATGACATAAAAGAAGAGGGAAAGGTACCAATAAATCAGGGGTACAATGCATTTTTTTCTAAATGCTTTAACAACATAACGATGCACCAGAGGACCCAAGCTGGTGAAAGAGCTACGATACACCCTGCTCCTCCAGGCTGCAGGAGGGTGAAGAGAGGAGCGTGGCCAACATGGACTGTGAACACACACCCAGCATGTATGGACAGACAGATGCACGCTTGGAGGAGAATGCTGGATTCCCTTCTGAGCAACATTAGTGTCGGGACTCCCAGCAGGCTGTCTGCCAAGGGGGATAATTAAGCTAAATAAAAATACACAACAGTAACAGCTCCACAAATGAGGATAATTTAATTACCACATTCGATATAGGAGACCCACTTCCCATGAGTTTTCCACTGTGACCAGAGAGGAGACAATAGCAACAGAATGTGCTGCAGAAAGGAAGATTCATTTACTAAGAAGAGGCTTTTCTATTAAGGTCTGCATATTAAACAACATCACAGCTTTCCATAATTGTGCCATAATCTTGCCATAAAATTCAATCAAAGCAACAGCTTGTGAACGTCCAAAAATCAATGGAACTGTACGAGAAACGATTGCAGATGTAACACTGGAATTTATTTCAATGCTCAGTCCATGGTGGTGGTAAGGAACATCTAAATAACAGGGAAGCAGGTGTCCTACAAACCTCTTAGGGAAGGGCTCCTCTCCCTCAAATTCAGAGGAAACAAAACCAAACTACAGTTCACTTAATACTACCAATTTGTTTGGTTTTGGGGAAAAGAGGTCATTTCTAACCACTCATCCTCCTAAAATAAAGTAGTTGGTAAACTAAACATGGGACAGTCTCATCTGGAATCCCAACCCAGTAGCGTAGTTTCACTGGGTTGAATTTAAAACGCAAGAGCTGCAGATTTGCTTTATTCATTAGTGATGAAACTCAACAGAAAGTGAGAGCTAACACGGGGGGCTTCTGAAGAGCTTTATACGCTGAGTAATGCACCTCTAGAGTGCTTGTCTGTTAAGCGAGAGAGAAGGAGAAACACTTTTCCTCCCCTCCTCTCTCTAGTGAAAACACTTAGTGGACAGCACAGGCTCAGTTCTTTTGAAAAGAGTGCAGTGAGTGCATCCACTCAATTATTTAAAACAGTTGAGTAATTGAAGTCCTGTCAGCTCAGAAGAACATCTCTCTTGTGAAGCTGCTGCACAAAACATCTCTGTGCAGGCGGTCACAGTAGCACTAGTTTTCGTTTTATTTATTTCCACATTCTCCAATTTGGAGCCACTGGTGAGGGATGAGGCTGCATGCCCCTGTTTGCAAGTAGTTTTGCCACAGGGTAAAACTCAGTAGAAGGAAGGAGGGAGGTGGGGATACCTTGGGAGCTTTTTTGGAGGTGGCAGGTTTATATGTGGGCTGTGCTGGCTTATGACTACATAAATCCTTACAGAAATCTCTCAGGTGTATGCTGAAGATAAATATTACAATAGTAGGCTTATGGGAAAACGGATTCAACCAGCCAGGAAAGTCCAAGGACGGAACAGGGCTGAACAGAATGTCCTATGGGTAGAGACCCTCTGGAGAAGCTCCTTTATCAGGGACTAGGAGATCAGAAGATTACCACATTTGCCTTCCACAGATTCTAATGCAGAGAGAAAAACCACTGCGGAGTGTACAAAGATGCCTAGTCATTTCTTCTCTAGCCCCAAAACACGCAGAGAATCATAGCTCCAATGCACACACCAGCACCACTGCTTTATTCCACAGCTGCCCTGCACTCTGTCCTGCCTTGTCAGGGGTTGCAGGACACAGAACAAGAACGACCAGCTTGACGAGTTAAGTTCTGGACATGTGCACACCCATCTAACCTAACCACTTGAAAACCAGTGTTTGTTCCTTTCTTTTTACCTGCTTTCATCAGTAATGGCTTTCTGGGACAGTTTTCAAGCAGATTAGAAGAAACAGCTACCAAGGCAAATGAATTATATAAAGCAGATGCTGATAGTGCTGAGTTTTGACATCTTTGTTAAATGGCTCACCTCAATGGATACTTCTCGCCAGGGTCCCTTCCCAGGTGGAAAAGCAGTGGCAGGGTAGTATGCTCCTCCTGTGTATGTGTTGTCACTCCAGAGACATTTTGCCCAGGACAAAAATCAATGCCCTGCAGGGAAGAAGAGAGAGGTCATCAAGGGTGAAGCAAAGGAGGGAGCAAAATTATAGCTGACGCCAGTTTCTTCAGCATGTTGTTCCAATGTACCTACAAAACCAAGAATTATTTTAAACAAGAATCCACTCCAGTCTGAAAATGGATTCTGATCTGATGGGGTAAAAGAAGGTTGGCATTGCACTAACATAGAAGCTGAAGCAGGCCTTGGATTCTTGCCTTATAGAAAAGTAATCTCTATGAAATACTCATTAAAATGAAATGGCAAAAAAAAAAAAAAAAAGATGAAGAGGTGAAACCATTTAATCATAAAAATTCTGCACATGGAAAGAATCTTCCGTCTTTGGTTTCTATGGCTTCAAAATACACAGGGAGGACTGGAGCACTCAGCAGTTCTGAACAGAAAGCAGCAGTCCCTGGGAAGACATCCAGCCAAACCAAGGAGCATCACCCTGAGAGGCAATGAGACCTGCTGGCCCCCCGACAGCTCAGCTTGCCAGCACCTGACACCATTCCTGATGGATCTGTTGCACTAAAGAATGAATTCATTTTAATCTGATTATATAGAAATGGGTGCATTTGTTGATCTGATTCATAGCAAACTCATGTGGTTTAAGCCCACAACTAACTCTGTTCCAGCTGAATCCAAAACACACGCTGGTATAGAGGCACAAACCTGGGAATGACAGTGGAGCTGAAAGAACTGTATTAAGTCTGGAGATGTTCCTGTCACTAACATTCAAGTCTACGGGGTCTGGAGATGGGATTTCCCAGCAAGTCCAGAGCTGTGAGATCTCTGGTCTGCCCTTGCCAGGCTGCATCTCCCAAATCCTGGCCAGTTATTAGCCAGGTGTGGAGCTCCCTAATCCCTATAGCCAGGCCTGCAATCCTGAGGGCTAACAGAACCTATTTAAACCCTGGGAACAGCAAAAAACCGCAAAGCACTAATTTCACTGAACAGCAAATAAAGCAGGGGGCCCTGTAGACCAGCAAGGACCAGCACCAAATGGACTTGTTAAAGCTCAGTTTTACATTTCCAGCTAACACGCTGCGCTCCTTACAATACCTCAAAATGCCCCGAGACATGGACAGAGACATGGAGAGAAGGTAAATGGGAATGTTTCAATGGAGGTGGGAAAGCAGCTGTAGCATTTGCTTATAAACCAAACAATCTGAAAAGGCTCTCTACAGATGTTGGTGGGATTTGATTGGCAAACAATTTTCTAAAAGTATCCCGTGTTTTTAATGGACAGCTGGTCAGTGGAGCAGTTAATATTCTGCTTTTCAATAAAGCAAGAAGTTTAGAAGCCCATGAAATCCCATTTATCTGCACAGAGCTATAGATTCCTGAATCACTGACTGGAAAAATAAGAGAGTTGCTTGATAGGTTGTAGTGGCCTACCAATAATGGACTTTAAATGGATACAAAAATGATTGACCTTTCCACCTTGTGACACCGCAGGCCTCTGAAACACACAGTGAAAAATAGATATTTTTTTTTCCCCCTCAAAAGGAACAGTTAATGAAAAGGTATCAAAGCCTACACAACATTCAAATTATAATTTGGATGCAAATCAAACAAGCAATTTAATTAAGAGCCTGCTAATTGGTACAATGCTGTTTGGCTGCAAATGCTTTAGTTTGAAAGAAGATTTTAGTCTCTTGGGTATTTGTTTGTATGTTGCTCTGTGTACATTTTATCTTTTGTTTCCTATAAAATCCCTGTAGCCAAAGCTCTTGAACACAGCCCAGGCTGCATCCCAAGGAATCAGAGGGAAGAAAGTGCACCAACTTGCCTGATGCCACTAGCCAAAACCTACCTGTCTTTCTAATCTAAGCACCCAATGCCCTCTTCAAAAGTACTGGGGGAAAAATAAATAGAAAAAATAAAATCATGTCATTTTACAGCACTGATAAATAACTCTATTTAAAAATGGCTGAAAGAACCCTCTGAATTTCTACTTTCACCTTTATCTCCACAAATAAAATTGACTATTATTTTTATGTACTCTGTGACTGCCAATATACAACCTATAGAGAGAGCTGAAAATATTTTCTACCTGCTCCTCAACAAAAGGATAAAAAATAAGAGGTAAAATTATATCCTCACAGCCCTAATCAAAGCATTGTCCTGCACCAAAGTAATACAGCTAGAGGAGTCTGGTTTTCTGTCACTTTCATAGAAAAGAATATGTCATTTACAATTCACGAATCTATTTCATTCTGGTTTGTAAATCAAAGCATTTTCAGTTCTCAGGATGGAAAGAGAAAAATCAGCTATCCCAATGAACTGCAAGTCTGGGATCCCCAAGTCCAGACTGCTTTTCTTTTCCAGAGCAAAACCAGCATAAATTAAATCTGCTTGAGATTTGAGAATTAAAGACAAGACAATCCACACTCCGAAACATCTGGATGATGCCCCTGGTTGCTTAGAAAGAGCTCAAATTTGGTCACATGTGGTACTGGGAGCTGGGGCAGAGCAACATGACAAAACTCCTTGTGTGTGTCTTGGATGGGAGATAAGGATCTGCCCTCCAGCAATGCTACTCCCAGGCTGCAGGACAAGAGGCCTGGTGAGGAAGGAAACTCTCTTCTAGATGATAATATTAAATCATGTCACCATTTTGGATCATTTCTTGCTCTTCATTAAGCAAAACTGGTTTTTGAGGTTTGCTCTTGTAAAAGCCTGAGCTGGCAACATGACCAATGGGCCCCAAGAACACAACAGGCTTTAACAATAAATGCAAATGTGCCAGGTTCTCAGCTGGAGCAAAAGCCACATCATTCCATGGGCTGCAGAGGAGCTCGCCACATTTGCACTGACAAGTGACCGGCTTCAGCCCTCCAGCACTGCCGACAAGATGGCAACTTCACCCAAAACCAAAGCTGTGTTATGTCAGAGAAGAGCAGAGAGGTTTCTGTGCTTGCTCTCCCCATTAGGATAACAAACCCCAAATCAACTACTACTTCATCTGCTGTTATTTTCTTTAAGCTATTTATTTGTCAGACTCTTAATAACAATATGCAGGGGATCAATAGCCAGTTAAAACATGTGCCTAATATTTTACTCTGCACACAATCCAAGGTAATTTGCATCTTTACATGTAACACTGATCAAACAAAGCAGAAAGGTCATTCCCTGTGTTTAAGCAGATTCTTGGCACTTTTCTCCTCAATTATAAAAGCATGAAAGCCAAACCAGAAGATCCTATCTAGAGCAACTGTGTGCCTTGTAAGGGAGCCTATAAAGGAGCATCAGATGGCAACCAGAAATAGCTCACCCAGTCTCTTCCACAGGCACCACTATGCAGTTTTTGCTATATGGGGTTTTGCACCACTATGCAGACCTGTTTGCTGTAGGAGAAATTCCAGCAATCCCCCACATTTCCTGCACATCAGGTAAACCTTTCAGCGAGCACATCTTTCTGCCCTTCTCCCCAGCAATCAGGTAACCTGGATTGTTTTTCCGTCCCTAAGACCTAGCAGCTATTGGTTGCACAGCTTATGCTTTAATTTCCAGAGCAAATGGACCACAGATGCTATGTCAATATAGACATGAGACAAATACAGCCGGTTGCCAGTTTGGGCTCTCGGCCAAGTGATGGAATCACCACTTGTGTTAACGTAAGCCCTCTGGCAATTCGTCACCCTGGCGCTATCCCAGATCCCTCCGACTTCACAGGCGGCTGCAGACTTTGATAGCAGTGCAGCAAATCTGGAGCCTGTCTTCTGGTCATGTCTCCTCATTCTGCCACACAAAACCCAGAGCAGCAAAACTGTATTAATACTGGAAGGAGAAAAGAACGGCGGTTAATTAAAGCCAGGAGCCCTTGTTGCTTGCTGTTTGCCACAGCATGAGTAAGTGGCTGTTCACTCTCCTGGTGATTCCCAGTAAAAGCCTTCCAAACTGGGGCTCTGAATGACCAGACACCTGAAAGCGTGACTGCCAAGCTTCAACCCTGTTGAACAAAAATTGCTTCTAATGTGTTAACTGTCTGGAAGAGACCCCAGAAGATGGGCAGACCAGCAAGCCTCCAGCAGCTCTCAAGCAGAAGCGATCAATGGCTAGCTCATATGCTCAGAGGACCACAATCAAATGTCATTATTTGTGAGGTTCTACTTGACTTCACATCCCCCTTGCAGAAAAGGCTTTATCGATCCCTTCACGTTGAGAAGAGGGGCAATCAGACATGAATAACCCCTTTGGCATTTTACATTAAAACAATAGGGTCTTCTGCCAGGCACCCACACCAATCATTTAAAGACACAGGAGCTCTCATGGAAAACCACTGGAGACTACTAACAAGATACTAAAGTGACAGCAGAAAGGTTGATGTTATCAGCTACTCTCCAATGAACCAAAGGGCCTTTTCCACATTTTTTTCTTAATTATTTTTTTCCCTTCTTGCATCACTGCTCTTGGAGGGCACAAGAACTAGTCTCTGTGGCAAGCAGAGAGAAGGAAATTTCCTTTCTCTTGTTAGCTCATGCTCCTGGCTCTTCTACATAGCATTAAATCAGGCAATTCCTGAAGGACTTGCTAGTCACTCAGATAAATTCATAAAGAATACCCATTTTTCCCCCCTTTCAAACCTCTCCTTCCAAACAAGGAAGATGAAACATACCTCTCCCTTCAATCCTGTGGACCAAATAATTACAGAAACCCCAAGTTTGCATGTATTATTTGTCATGCACTTGGCAATCCAGTTCAAATTTGGTAATGAACAAGCATGACTTACAGGCTGAAAGGATGGATGATGAGAACAACAGAGAACAGCACTTTACAGGACACCGCCAGTAAGAGTCCTGTGTGTTATGCCATACAAGAGAGGGATCTCCCCAGGTTTATCTTTAGTTCTTACTTCTGCTCCAACACACAGCACATGTGTGTTTTTATCACGGCTGATTTTTGATACAAGACAAAAAGTGGTCAATGATGGTGGAAACGATTACACACTGATACCCACCAGCCCTAGAGCAACATGGACTCAGCCCTTGTGCACAGGAAAGATTTCTCTCCCTCTACCAAACTATTTTAAAATCTTTTCCTATTTAAAATTATAAACACATTTTTTCCAAGTACAGTTTCCTTCCATTTATGTCTGTCCCACATATCACCTCTTGAATGTCAGAGATGTCCAACTATGTAAACACAAGCCAGCTATATGAAAGGAGGTGGAAGCCATGTAAACAACCCCAAACAAGTATCCTATGGAATCTACAGAAAAATGTCCCACAGAGAGCTTACTCTCACCCTCTTCTCAAGTGAGCCTTCCCTTTATGCTTTCAAGAGAGCAATCATTCAAGAATGCAAGTTACCCACACAGGAAGTTAACCCAGCAGAAAAGACAGCATCAAGGTATCCTCCAGCACTGAGAAAGACAACAAGCAACAAGATTTTATTATGGGATTCAGACTAGACAAAGAATTGCCTGGGGGGTTAAAAAGAAACAAACAATAGGAAGAACAGAACAGCACACTTCGTCTTTGTGAGAAATGATGAATTTTAATCCCAGGCTGTAAGGCAGATGATGCAGACCAGTAAGGGCACGTTAATGCCATGGGAGCCTGAGACAACTGTTAAACCTGTGTACTGCTGGCATGGGATATTTCCAAATATTCCAAGTGCCATATGGAGAGAAGCATTCATATCCCTGTTCTGCTTTCCTAGGCTTTGCTTTCTGCAAACTGTGTCTCTCTGGTACATTTTTATTTGTGTATACATATTTTATTACTTAACTAACTTATGCTGCATTTAAGTACACATAGATAGTACTCCAGTTTAGAGGCCAAAATTGCACTCATTCTTTCTAGTTAATCCTGAAAGACCTGGTAGTCCTAACCAGACCCAGGACAGGCACCAATTTCACATTTTCCAATAGCAACATGAAAATGTGGTCCTGTCTGCTTTAATGGTATAATTTCATCTAAAAGTCAAACAAAAATGCACAGAGTGTGGATTAAAAACACAGCAAGATTTCTTTATCAATGATTTCCCACACTGCCAATTAACAAGGGAATTTTGGAAGTGAAAGGAGTTTTGGCTAAAACGTGCCATGTATCTGTCAAAATAGTGAGATACTCAACTACCCATAAAAGAAACCTCTTAAAAATTGGCAGGCAGCTGTTTTGACATATCAGGCCAACTTCAGGTCTCTTTCAAATGGATGCCATGCCAACGAGATACATTTGCTTATTCCAGGTCTGAGTTTGGGCCTTCAGGCATAGACAGTTTCATATTTGAAAGTTTAATAAATCATCACATTGGCTTCACAATAAGGTAGGGACTCATGCTAAACATCATACAATTAACAAGGCGTCATTAGCTGAAGTTCTACTGGGATGGGAAATCAAACATCGAACAGCAGACCTGCCAACAGTCAGAATTCCTAATGCCACAGACATGCATGTATTTAAATATGTTTTTCAAATGAAATTAGCAAACAAATTGGCCTTTTGGATTCTGGCAGGGTGACTGCAGTCCAATATCAATACAGCTGAGAACACCAGTCACTGAAAGAGGCGCCTGTATTGTGAGATTACAAAACTCCTAAAACAGGACTCAGAACTGTGGAATTGTTCTGCATTCTGATTTATTTCTATTTTTAAACTTGCAAGGCTTGTAATTAATGGCTTGAGGACATGAGGAGAATTGGAGCAAATTTTAGCCTCAGCTTCCACTGCATGTTGTTAATGGCTAGTCTGTCCACTAATGTGCTCCAATTTTACCCACATCAACCACATGTGATACAAGCTGCAGGAAAGCAAGTGTATTTTTAATCATCTCTCTAATGTACAGTATAATTGCTGACTTTTATCAGACAGTAGTTAAACAAAGACTTAGAAAGAATATTCTTTAATTGCACAACTGCCATTGCTCACAGTAGGAAAGCCTTTGAAATTAGTAACTGGTCCCCATTTTATGATTCTATTATCATGGCTATACACATACTCAGACATGTACAAATAAGTTTAGATCAGAATAGACATTTATTTATTTCCCAGCTAGGTATGTAAGTGTGTGGATATGCTTATATTCCAAAGGAGAGCAGTTACTCATGTGTGACATTATCTCCCATGCACATGGGAAAAGCATGCTTCTGAGCCCGTCCATACACACATGCACGTACAAGCACCCAGTCTCTTGCACAGAGGGAAAACCCTCCACGCTGTGCCACATGTGATGTATGGGTTTTACTCACATACTAATACTCACATACTAACCTAGACAAATACATTATCTCATTTTAGCTGCGCAGAATTAGCATTGAGACAGAGCATGTGATGCATTTCTAGAGCCAACTTTCCTTCTTACTCCATGTAAAACAGAAACTTTGAGTCCTGAAGCATTTCAGTCTTAAGAAAACAAATGCACATATTTACAGCCCTGAATGTAAAGGACTCCCTTGGAGCTGATGTTTCCTTCTACCCTCAGGACATGCCAGTGAAAGAAACCATGCACTTTTATATCCACAAATGTCATCAGCACTTACTTCTGCACCTGTGATGCCTTGAGGACCCACCGTAAGTTAAAAAAAAATAATAAAAAGACATAAAAAAAATAAATCATACAAACAATCCCTCCCCAATACCAGCCTGCTGTCAGAACTGCTGCGGGCTGTGCCATAATGTATTTAGTTCATGTCTAAAGGTATAATCAGCAAGGCACATGTGTGAACCTGCCATTCAAGGAATGCCCCAGAGTTCAGTACCCAAGTCTGAGGCAAGAAGGATACAAAAGAAGAAAAATAACAGTGCTCAGCATCCAATTGTGAGAAGACCAGCCAGGAAATTACAAAAGCTGTGCCTATTCAGCAAATAAAATGTAAAACATCTTATAGTGTGATATGGGCTTGCAAAGGTGCTGATAACAGATTAAACACATGTACTCTACTGTTTTCAACAACTGCTGTTCTTTCCACTCTGTGGCTCCTATGGCTTTCCTTTTCCCTTTCAGCAAAGAAAACCAACAAATCCATACCTATTTCATTTAAACAGTTCAGGGCACCAGGCCTTTTGTACTAGAAATGGTGAGCTATATGACCAATTCAGCACCAGACTCCAAACTTTGTGAGGGCACATATGAAAGCTCAGGATTCATCAGGGAAAGCTGCTTAATATTAAGGGACCTTAAGTGCTGATTAAAGGGAACACCCCTCTGCACAACTCAGACTTTGCTCATTCTCCTTTGCTTGTCTCTGATTTTGATAGAGAGGTGCTGTAACACCAGTCCCCATAGGTTTTGTAGCAGATCTGGTAGCTTTTAAGAGGCTGTGAATAAAAGGCTAGTTTGCAAGTGCCCAGTGACATTCCCCAATTTAAAACTCTGCTTTAAAGGATTATTTCTCCCCAGGAGAACCAATGAGACCAGTGTGCAGGTCTGCATCCTGTTACCTTGCTATACTCCTCCCAGGAGTTGCTCCAGGTCCAGTAGTGAGCCTTGTAAAGCCCGACTCTCACTGCCATCATCTCGTTGCCACGATAATAGAATATAGGCCTGAAAAAATAGAATAAGGGCCTGAGAAAACACAATATGGGCCTGAGAAGGAGAGCAGAGTGGCATGAGAAACACCAGTGCAGCAGCAGCCTTGCTGATAAGGGAGACAAACACTTTAATGGCGTCTGACTTCCGCTCCGGCTATCAGTCAGAAACAGGCTGCCTCCTAATAGTCTCCTCTGCAAGGTTTTCAATTAACATTTTTTAAAGTGTTCATCAAGTTGAGAGCTCACATGGTGCAAGAATGAAACATTATACAGCTTGGCTGCCAGTGATTGTTAATCCTTGAACTATCAGACCCTGTTATTTCCTATAGAGCGTGCCGATTTAAACACCAAATGTCTCAGGAGCAGTGTGTGTGTTTGTGTGTGTGTGCCAGAGAGAAACAGGGATTCACAGACATTGTGATGCTCAGGCTCCTCTTTACACAGCACCAAGCTATGTGCTGTTAGTGTCATGTGGAGAGGGTGGCCAGGGAGGACACCAGATGCTGGCCTGTTTCTGGATGACATCTCAGAAAAACTCCATATGGAAAAATCTGGCAGCCAGACATGCTTTATTTTTAACTCTTGTCCATTTCCATCCTCTGCCCAAACCTCCCTTTGCATCATCTAAACATACCACTCAAAACTGTAACTTTTTCACGGAGGTTTTCCTAATTAAAAATACATTTGAGAAATGCAACTCACTCTGAGCATTTGGTCTGCACCTGAATACGTGCACTATGCTTCCCCTGGGCATCCCAGCAATGTTCCCGTCTGTCTCCCCAGTAATGTGCTCTTGGGTCTTGAGGGAACCGTACAAAATTTTACTGAAAGGGACTATCTGCAGGAGAGAGGTGTGATTTGTGGGTGCAGCTCATCACCAAAGGACATGAGACTTTCTGCTTTTCCCCACTCGTTTCAGGCTGCTGACAGGACGAGATGGTGAAGCTGTTTATCACTGTCTGTAGGGTACATACATCTTTGTCTTTTGTTCAGAGATGCCACTCCGCAAGAAATACTCACTCTGGTGATGATACCTTGAAAAAACAGTCCCTAAACACAAGATCAGATTAAAATATCCACACCTGAATGACAGGAGTAGCCTTAGATGTCTTCTGTTTTAAAATTGTGGCTTCCCCTGCAGGTTCCTTGCACAAGTGATGAGCCTTTCTCCTTTGTCACTAGGAGCTGCCCGTGAACAAAGAGGAAACTGCTCACTCCTGCATCCTTAATGCACCTGAAATCCCATGAAATAAAGGCAGCTGGAGAGATCTGCCAAAGTGCACAACCTGATCAAAACCAGTCCCATTAACAAAAGCCCAAAAACATACGCCACAAAGCATGCCAACCTGCTTTTTCCTTGCCATAAAAACTCACTATTTGATAAGTGCCTTTGATTGAAGGTGTAGGGTTTATGGTTTTAATTAAAAAGAACTATATCTTTCCATCTTTGAGAGAGGGTTATGGCTTGTACTCAAAGTTCTGCTATTACCTATTACCGATTTCTATTTTCCCTATTCCATTTTTCCTTTTTAAGATCAAAAGAACACAACTGCATCTCCTGGAAGGTTTTTTGGGGCTGTAGAAACTGTGACCTCGTCAGGTCTGGGATGAGGAAGAAAGCCATGCTGTGCCTCGAGTGACACAAACTGCACCAGTTCCAAGGGGTTGTTGACTGCAATTAATTTCTCTTTCAAAACAGAGAAGTTAACAAACTTTCAGAAGTAAAGATGAGATAAGCTGTGTCTGATGAATCTGCAGTGCCTCATGGCAGCCCCTGGCTAGGCTCTCAGGTAACACTGTAGGCATGCTTCTTGCTTGACAGGCACAAAAGCAATTTTATGGAACAATGGCTCGCACCCAACAGAGGAAAGAACTCAAGTATGTTTTCCATGCATATGTTTCCTTGCTATGTCACAGGCAAAGAATATGTTTGTATTCAGATTTCACACGCTGCCAAATTCCTCCTCAAAATTACAACTACAAGACCTCTCTTGACCTCCAACCCTTCCAACAAGAGCGCTGAGGATGTTTGCTGTCAGATCTTAGCGCCTGTACTCAACAGCTGACAGCGGTCCTCTGTGCTCATAAAGATCCCAGGTCTTTAACCCAAATCTATTCTTGCAAAAGCATTCACAGAAACAGGACCTTGGGAGGAGGAGGGCTTCCACATAACCAAAGCCTCTCTCAGGCAGGGACTACAAAGACCCAGCATACTCTTGCATGTTTTTCCAGTATAAATAATGTATTCTCCCCTACCCAGGCTACAATTCTCAGGCTTTTATCTCCTCTATTGCCATATGTTGTGGCAGGGATCCCTGCTAACCCCCTGACGTTTTCACCTGTCCCCAGACTCCACTGTATGGCAACATGCCACATGTCAGGAAATCCCACCTCTGCTCACTCCACCAGCACATAGCACAAAGCTCTGGTGCTACCCCACCTCAATGAGCAGGAGCAAAGATGAATCAATTCTGTTTATAAAATGTTTCTGCAGAAAATCCTCACAAACAAATCTGGCATCGCTTCAGTCAGGATGCAAGGGTCGGAGCTCATAACGAACCTGTCAATTAGCTTGCCCTGCAAGATGGCAGGTAAAAGGTCGATGCCGTCAATCTGTCTGTCACTGGGAGGCTGCAGTCCCGCCAGGGAGAGGCTGGTGGTGAACAGATCCATCACGTTGCCCAGCTGATGGCTGACCTGAAAAAACAGAGACACGTTTGCAACAAGACCTTCAGGAAAAGCCAAAGCAAAAGAGGCTGGTTTCCACCAAAACACAAGGATTGCTTCCTGAGCCTCCTTCTCTGCTGAGCATCTTTTGAGGATACCTCCCTTTATGGTGCTGCAGTCACCAGCAAACCCCCTATTAAAATAATAAAGGAAAGGAGATGATCCATATTTCTCCCCTTATAAAGGATCATTTGCATTTCGATTCATGTTACCATTTTCTTCTTTTTCTTCTGACTTCTTTCTATGTATCCACTTTACAGGAGCATGTTTTCACAGAGTTCAACTTAATGTAGCAAATTCCATCTCATTTGAGGACTGAAAAATCAGCACTTAAACCAAGAAAAACTCCTTGATTTGTTCTCTCTTCAGGTCATCTCTGGAGTCCAGAATACCCTGAGAGAGTTCCCAGAAAGCACAGGGATAGATGGATAATAACAAAAAGAGCCCGATGACTTCATCTGCAAACCATTTCCAACAATTCAAGAACTGTAAAGTTGTGGTATTTTTAGAATATATTTTAATAAGGGAGAAAAACATCTGGGTTTGGCTCCAATGGAGATGTGCAGGCTTTTTTTCTTCCCCTTGCCTTTTTTTTTTTTCCCTTTCCCCTTAATTGGAAGCCATATTCATCTCTCTGGTCTTAATTATTTATATTTTAAAACCCTAAAAAGTCTGTTCTGATGGATTCCTTCTGAATCTTTGCTCCCACCCTGCTTGTAGCATGCTACAGTTATCTGTTGTAGGATGGTTAATTAGCCAGTGACACACTAAATTAAAGCAGACACATTCAAATCAAGAGCAAAGCTGTTTTGCACCAGGAAGCACCAGCACAAGATGCGACACGAGAAGAGCCTTTTCAGCTGTAGCACTTGCTCAGAAACAAGAAGCCATCTGATACAAGCCCGCATCTGTAAGTACAGAAGCACTTTCTGACTGAAATCCAAGTCGTAGCAGCAGCCTTGCGAATGTCAGTGTGAACATTACCATACTGGGACTATCAAAGACTTTTTATCTCTGAATCCTCTTTCTACTCACAAACAGACCCCCAGCCTGTGAGCTGACACTAATTATTTGAATATGACAACAAATGATAACATGATAAATGATTTTTTGTGAGATGCTGGCTCTAGAGAGAAAAAACTAAAGGGAAAGTGCTATTTTTGCTGGGACATTAATCCTTTTATCAAGAGGCTGGGCTGAAAAAAGTGAACACAAAGGATGAATTAGCAAGTTTTTTTCTTAAAAAAGAAACTGGAGAAAGCAATATGAGGGGACTAATTACAAGTTTAACATTACAATATCCCATTCCTTGATTACAGTCATTTCAAATTTTAATGGCTTCCATCCATCAAAAGGTGTTGGCAGGAACACATAATATTAAGGCTGCATGCAAGAATACTTCCACAATTCTTAAGAAGAAATCAAAGTGCAAAGCTCTAAAAGCACAAGAGGAAACCTGACCATGAAAATCCTTGCCCAGGAAAGCAGTTGGATCAGTTGACCAAGATCAATAGGTCTTGCAGGAGGTCTCAGCCATTTGAGGTTAAACCTTATTTGTGGACACTGATGCAGCTGGCAGCCTGAAGGAGGTTGCGCTCTGCCTGTCCTTGCAGGCAGTGACAAATAGAGATGAGCCCACAAATCCCCCCCAGAAAGGAGACATATACATGAATTTCTGTCTGCATGGAGAAGAGGATGGGGATCTTCTGATACACAGCTGCGGGGAAGGAAACAGAACCAAACTCTCTGATGGGTTAACCGTGCTTCTTGCTCTCCCTGTGGCCATTTAGCAAATGCGGACCACTGGGAAGAAGCAAAGGTGGATATGTCATCTATGGCATTAGCTGTGGGACAGTGTTGCATGCTCCTTGGACCATTCCCTTTCATGGGCTCTTCCCTGTTCCTGGATGTGCACTCAAAAAACACGTTAAAAACGAGCGTGACAAACCCCCAAAACCCCAAACCATCAGCTCATTCCTTACAGAGCTAGACTTCATGAGCCATGGGTGTGGGGAACGCTGCACTCCCTCTGAAGTCAGAGGGGATTACAAGTGCTCAGCATCTCAGGAAAGACGCTCAGTCCCTCATAGGCTCATCTGCTGGCTAATTCACCCTGAGCATGCCTTAGGAGAGCTGTGGGGTCAGCAGAACACCATATGCAGAGCTGGAAATCTAATAAAGAGGAGATCTGGCACACGCCTGCTCCCTGACAACTGCTACGTCAGGGCGAGGCGGGCAAACAGAGATTTTTTTGTAATTAGACCTCTCACATTTATAAGGCAAGTCCAAAAGGCACTTTTCTTGTTGTCATTCCATTCCCTCGCCTCAATCTTTTGATAACAGGCAGCAAGAGGCAATCGCTGACCTGAGACTTGTGCCTCTAATATCACCCAATTTATACACTGCACTGTGACAATCCTGTGGGGCCACCATGGTCTTCTTGTACTGGCCCTTATTAACCATAACCAGATGTAGATGACTCTCTTTAATCATCCAGTTACGTTTCTGGTCTCAGACAACATTTTTCCATGAAGCAGGGAAAACTTCTTAAGGGAATTAAATGCCCATGCCACAGCCACTTGGATTTATCTGTGCTCTGCAGCACCGTGCTGAAGAAGGGGAGGGGGGAAGGAAAAAAAAAAAAAGGTTAATATGTATATAAAACTTTGAAGTATTTTTCAGAGAAAAATAAAAAAAAATTACCATTTTCTCCTGTCAACAGTGCTCTTTCATTCTAGTTGCCTTTCCAATTTTTTTAAGAAAAGAAAAAGAAAAATCCAGAGAGGGCAACAGCCCAGAGAAAATAAATAATATATAAAAAAGAGTGAGATCAGATATTGCTCGTATCAGTGAGAAACAGCCGGTATTACGCACGGAAGAACGGATTTTTCCCCCCTCCTTTCCTCCGCTCCTTTTTAATAAACTCTCAGTATACACATAACGTCTTTAAGAAAATGAAATCCTTTTGCTGTGGGCCACGTTGCTAGAAGAAATAGTCACCACCGCTGTTATCAGTGCTTCCAAGCTTTAACTCTGAATCAAAGGCGACAATTAATAAAGTCGCCCCCGCCAGGAATGGAAAGGAGGAAAGCTAAATATTTGAAACTGGGTGAACAAATGTCAGGGTGTTTTTAAATAAAATCCTTTTACAGTTATCACAGCGAGCAGACCTGATATCCCTGTCTAATTCAATTTCAATTTGCGCCCCATGGGAGATAGTGAAGAAAAGGTTGCAATGCTGTCTTTGGGTTGATATGTTCTTTTCTCCTTCAGGAAGCAGGCACGAGAGAGGAAGGGGAGGAGGGTGGGGGAAGAGAAGAGGAGGATTCAAATACCAACAGAATATGATGGCTTTTTTTTTTCCAGCTGGATCCTTCCAGAAGGCAGATGTGATGTGGGGAATTTTGAAATGCTGATTTGTTGTGAACTCACCTGGAAAACATAGCTGAGGAGGAAACTGCAGAAAGGCTGTTTGTGTGTGAATAAATATTCCTGACGGGGGACCAGAATTTACTGAATGTTGATGCCAAGAGCAACACGCACTCCTGAGGCACCCCTCTCCTCCAAAAAACCTGCAAATCAGCCAACTGCACCAATTATCCCAACCTCTATCGATATCCTGTCAAGTGTTCACAATCCTGTCACCTAACTTCTTTGTCTAAATAAAAAGCTACTCCCTTATTTAAGCAGACAAATGTACCCTCTAATAGAAACAAAAAACCCCAGCCCTATATATCAATGAGATTATTAATAAACTGCCAGATCCCATCAGCAGAATGAGCCTTCCATCCAATAACTGGATTTCAGTGGCTGGAGACAGAAGCCTTCTTCTGGCTGCAGATGTGCCAGCTGAAATGGTTGCTGGCCCTCTGCCTGCTCTCAAAAGGTCCATAGCTGCACTGGGAGCAACCACAGCGCAGAAAGGAGTAGCTGACCCTTCAGCTTTGTGCTTGGTGCTCCTGAGAAGCTTTTTGCTTCCACCCTGGTTCAGGGCTCCCAGGCCTTTGTCTTCTTCAAGTCTTTTGAAAATAAAGAGCAATGAGAGACTTTGAAGCAGTTTCCCCTGCTTCTTGGACTAACCAGGACTTAGGCTGACTGGTTTAAACCTGCAGTCAGTAAGTTCTTGAAGCTACAGACTGTGTAAGACACATTAAAAAACCCCAAAACTGTACTACCAGACACACGTCTCTTCACTTACTATGTCAGTGAAAGAGGCAATTATGAAGCAGTAACTACAGGCACCCTACAGACCAACACAGTGTGAGCTATATTACACAGAAGCATTGCCAAACATCTCACCTGTGGTCAGTGCTGCTGTGTGTACCAGTGCTGGAGCCTCGATGGCAAGAATACAAGCAGAAAAGACATATAAGTAGCTATCACATATTTACTTATCAGTAGCATCATATGGGGTCTAACTCAGAGCCAAGCAGCACATCCTGTGGACAGAGTTCAGAACAGGCTTCTCAAGGTACCTCAGTGGAGTCCAAAAGGACATCTGGGAGCATAACACCTGCACATGCAGATGTTTGGCAGGCAGCATCATGAACTGGAGCTCAGGATAGGGTGGATTTAAAGTTTAGCATGTGCTTAAGTGCCAAGGATGATGATAGCAGTGGTGGAGTGGGGATTTTTGGTTGCATACCTGCCTTGATAAGCTTTAAGCGCACTCTCCAGCAAACTGAGCATGCATGGGCTCCTGATAGCACAGCGTAGGTCAGTCTACCCACCTATGCAAACATGTTAACTCTCCACAGAAATGACTGTTCACAGGAATTCAAACAGCAGCTCCCACTGTGGCCTCAAGCAGGAAGCCAAGCATCACACCAGGCTACTGAGAACATTTTGGACCACATAAAGCTTCACCACTGCGCTACATGCAAAAGACTACCTGGTAGAGGGGTACCAGCCAGCCACAGTTCAAAAACAGAAAATAGAAAATAAGAAAAATTATTTCTCTACACATGTTCTTCATTATCCCAGAGTTACTACAATGGAAAGAATTTTTATATTTGGTATTTACTTGTCCCCATTTATAATGCATATTTACTTTTAGCACATTATTTAGTTTGGACATGGAAAACAAACCAGTCAGCTTCAGTTTCATGTTCTCATATGCTAGCCCAAGGCTGTTGTACTTGGCTTCTAAAGGCTTTATGGAAATGTTTAAATTTAAACAAAAAGACTGTTTTCATTTCAAATTAAAAAAAAGAATAAAACTTCCCTGGTAGGTTTTGTGAACCCTTTAAAAATTATGAAACCAAACTACCCTCCTGCCCTCAGCTGTAGATCTAAGCTATCTGATGGCTTCCTCCTAAATGTAAGTGATAAATTACCATTACCCTGACTCAATTAAGCCACTGAAAAGGAATGTAACTTAGAAAAATGTTTTATTTATGAATAGTTTGCAGTCTTAAGCACAGTGCCCAGTTAATGAAGTATCACTTTCTTCAGGGATGAGAGATGCTCACAAAGGGGAGGGAATTTGTATTATTTACTGTGAACCCTGCCTGCAGAAGAATTGATTGCATCCCTCTTTAATGAGAATTGGGACAAGAGAGGCTGGTAGTGCCACTGGAGGATTATCTTGAAGTGATCATATCTGAATTTGTGTACAGGCAGGAAAGAGCAGTAGTCTGGTATCTAGACCTCCTTGAGTGGAAGTTTTATCAAACACCAAAGCAAGTGCTGAGTATCAAAGCACTTGACACTTAAGGGCACAGAGAGTGTGTGCAGGCAACATGCTCCTGCTCTACACTGGGAGACGCATTAGCAATGTGTCTTTATACTCCAAGTTGTTCAAACACATATTCCACTAAAAATACTCCAAAAGAGTAATGGGTTTAAACAGATAAGGAAGACAAAAAGACCAGACCACTTGGTGTTCACAGATGTGTTGATCACAGATCCTCTAGTTGCAAATCCACAATAATGAACAAGAATGGCATCATTCTCTGGGGGGAGCATTCAGCTCCTTATTTAGACAAGCGTCTGGACTGACACATTGCGCATATTAAAAGCCTGAACCTAAACCCAGCAAGAACCACCCCATTCACTTCAGTTCACTTAAGACTGATCTGAATTGTTAAAAGCGAATACTCACCCCTCCTGCAGGTATATGTCCAGGCCACCAAGCAATAGCTGGCTCTCTCATGCCACCTTCAAAGGTGGTTTGTTTGCCACATAGAAAACGACCATTGCTTCCTCCTAGAGAGAGAAAAGAGGCCATAAACCCCACAATAAGCCAGCATCATTTCAGAGGGACACTGTAAACTAGGAAACTTTTAGGCAAAATGAATTTTCATTTCTGCATGAATGCTTCTTCAAATAACATGTCCAGAGTTGTTGTTTTGGTTTGGTTCTTTGTTTAAATATCCATTTCTGATGAAATTCTAGGATTGTCTTCAGTACATGGAGAAAGTGACAGTTAAACACAACTTGCTATCAACCAACCAAAGATAAAAAACAAAAGCCAAACAAACAGAACATACTTCACTAGCATTTCCCTTCCCTTTAAGGATGTTAACTAACTGCTGTTTGGAACTAAAGGAAATCTGACACTTTCAGGCATAACAGTGGTTTTTTTTCATAATCTTTTTAAAGTACCAGAGCAGTATTAGATGCAGACAGAAGAGAGAAAAATAATCATGCAGTCCCTGAATTTTCATTCTCAGTGATAGCAAGTGCTTTGCAGGAATGTTTAGGGTTTTAACCCAACCTTGTAGCTAAGCTTGCTGTGGAACAAACAGAAAGGGCTTGCTACTGATTCCAGGTCACATGAAGTCAAACATGGTGGCTCAACTGAAACCAGAACTCAGGATACTCCCTGTTCTGTGGTCCAATAACCACGAGACAGCCCGCCTCCAAACAGAATAGAGTGGGTCATAAAATCAATTTGCAATGACTCTGAGAGAAACAATTATTTAAACAAAAGAAAACTTGTTAAGTAACAAAAAGAGTTTTTCTTCTTGATACTTCTCATGTGAGCTAAAGAAGGAGATAATCTTCAACTCTTTGTAATTACTCAGAAAACTGAAATAGGCATTTGGCAGATGGAGAGTAAGAACCCTGCTAAGTTATTGTGTCTGGTCCTAAATAAATTGAAAAATATTCACCCCCTGACAGTGGGACACAAAGTGGAAATGCACACATATGAACAGCCACACTGGGTTAGGCCAAAAGTACATTTAGCCAAGGTTACCTTCTCCAACAGTGACTAGAAATAATGAACATAAGCTAATCCTAAACATAAAAGTTTTGAGACTTCTAACTGCATAGAGAAAAACCCCAAGCACAGGTCTCTTTTCCTGAAGGCAGAGAGGCTTAAGCCTTGATTTCACAACCCCAGCCCAGGTTTGTTCATCTGAAACTCACCCTGTCTAGGAGCTGAAATGAGAGCAGCCCCATTATCAGAGGTGAAAAACACAAAAGTGTTCTCACTGATACCCAGCTTCTGAAGATGTTTTAGGATTTTTCCGATGCTATCATCAATTTCTCGCACAGCATCCCCATATCTGAGGCAAAAACAGAAGCAAAACATTACAAGCAGGAAAACAGGAAAAGTATCACACAGCATAATGTACTTCAATCAGCCACAGTGCTTCTAGGGGATGTAATTTACGCCTGTGCTGCAGAAGCAGTTCTCTTATGCAGCAGGGTACTGTAATAAAGTTTTCCACTGGAAACCCCGTGTCTCTTACCTGCAGAGAACAACCTTTCTTGGGTACTAAGAGTCAGAATTTGTTCAGATGTGAGCTGCTCTTGGACAGAGAGCAGAGACGGGTACAAATTTAGCTATGAAGTTCTCAAATACAGGCAAAGCCACTTTGCCACAGACTTGAAGCTAATAACATAGTTTTGCTTATGGATGCTGGTTTGTAACTGCACTCTCAGAAGCAAGGTTCCCAATATCTAGAGAGCTCTTTGCCTCCTGTAAATTGCATTTTTCATGCCTGCTTTTCTACTTGCTGGTCTGATTTATAGGCTTTTAAAACAGGCACTAATCATACAAAAGCCTTCCAAAAAATCATCTGTGCCACATACAGCACTTCATTACTCACACAACTGGCAAAGGAGCTTAGACTCCCCCTTTTCCCCCATTTTAGTCACACGATCTTCATTTCAGATGATAGCAAAATTATTAAAGAACAATCCAAGCAAAGCCCTCACTGATATATTTCAGCACACACATACACTTTTGAGAAATTATCTACGTACTTGGATCTAATAAACATTGCTTAGGTTTTCTGTTTCTGCAGCACGAGGTATTAATTTAAAAAAACCCAACAAAACCAACACCCACAAACCCAAGACTTACAGTCCTCTCTGACTAGTGCCCAGGAACTGTTTGGAGGCATAAACAGGAGCGTGGGTAGCATCAATTGCCCAGTATAAAAAGAATGGCTGCTGGCTGGCCTGCTGCTTGCTAATAAAATCGAGAGCTTCCTGTAAACAGCAATAAAAATGAATTTAACGGAATCATCCTCTGCCATCTAAATCTCTCCAAAAAAAGCAGCATAAAGTCATTGTGGTTTAGAAACCAGTGTTAAAATAGACATTACCTTCAGGTAGATCTGAGTCAAGTTGGCTTCACCCGTCTTCAGATCAATTTTGAAATCTTCATAGTATCTTAAAATAAAAAAAAATCAGGGAGAGAAAAAAAAGAAAAAAAATCAATCCTAAGGAATATACAACATAAAAAGGCTTTTTTTCCCTTACTGCAAAAATAGATGACAAACAAGTAACATGTGCCACTCAGCAAACTCCCTTCAGGTATTAAAAAGATATTTTTTTCTTATGGGTGGAAGCAGTGAAACAGCTAGATCTGAATTAAGGATGACTGCAAGTTTTGGACAAACCTGAGCTATCAAACTTTCCCTGTTAAGCTATTAGAATACGGGTAGTATGCTTAGAGACCTCATGCTGTTACTCCTTCAATAGGGAGCTGTTTGAAAGGTGAATAAGACATACAGAACAACTTCCAGTGAGATGGAGCAATCCTGGCATCAGAACTAGGGCTGCCTGGAAAATGTTATGTTAGAAGTATCTTTAGAAACCCATTAAGCAAAGAAGGGCAGGAGGCAGTGCTCAAGAGAACACCAAGGGAAATAAGATGATACAAGACTCAAAAGTGAATGGACAAGAATGGTACAACTGCAGGCTTGGAGCACAGAATGGTGTTACGCAAACAGACAGAAGTTTATTACAAACAGGAAGAGAAGGAATAAAGAGGTCTTTCAGTACAGAATGGAACCAACTTCCAAGAGAAGCAGTGGAGTGAAATCGTCACAGGAAGCCATTAGAGTGCAGTGGGATAAGCAAACATCTCTTGGAGGGAAGCACTCTCGAGCAGTCACATCCCTAGATGGTCCACGTGCAGCTTGCAGGTTGGCCTTGTTACTCAGGGTTATTACAGATCTGGACGCAACCTTCAGGTTAGGAAGGTGGACAACCATACAAGAGAAGGACTCTTCCATTTATGTTTTCTTATACCCTTTCTATATACATTCGAGTGGTCATCGCAGAGTATAATGGATTAAATGGGGTTGGGCCTGACCCAGAAGGGCTGTTCGTGTGTTTCATGTCTGCTTACAAGCATCTTTTCTGCACTGGTTTATTGCTAAACTGCAGGATATTCACGGTACTCTGTAGTAAGTATGTCAGATCATACACGAGGCAGGATATTCCCAATACTTGACATGCTATAAAGTCCTCTGCATGGGGTAAAACACCCATAGATCACTGTCTATCCAACTGAGTCTGTAACTGATTCTGAAGCAGCTAGCGGCTTTACCAAACCCTTTTCACAGAAATGGGTTTGCCACGGTAGCACTTATCTTCCAGCACTGTAATGTCAGCAGGGGAAGCAAAGAAAATAACATTACCAGGCAAGTAGCTGAATTACCTGCCAATCATTTCCCAGTCCCTATACAGAGGGATATTGGGGAGAGCTCTGTTATCGAAAGGTCCAAAATGGCAATTTGGGGATCCAAACCATTCATCAAACCCATGCTTCAGGGGGTGGAACTGTGGCCGGTGACCCAGATGCCTAGGAACAAAAGAAACAGATGAGTTTAAACTCTGCTGCAAAAAACCAAATAATCATCTCATCAGAATGGCATGCAAGAAAACAATCTTTGCCTAATAATAAAAAACCTAAGCATTTCAATCAAATAAATGCAGAGCATTGTCTTGATCATTCTCATACTTGTTGCAAATGTGCCTGTGCAGACTCACTCCAGTGATTACATATATCCCATTTTAGCCTACTATCTGGTCTTTGTTTTCCATTGTTTCCTTCCATTGGTGTCTTCTCTCATGCTGTCTTGACGAGCTGCACTGATGGACAACACTGCCCAAGCCATTGCAAAGACATACATAATATTTTACTTAGGGATTCTGATCTATGACAAGTCACCTTCATACTACTAAACTGTAAAAATACAAGGCAAAGCTAATGAAATGTATCATTATATCTGCATCCCCTTTCTGGAATATTCAGGCTGCCAAAATGGTACAAAGAGACATGAATGTAAATGAAAACAAGTTCTTTACGTGCACATGTGAACATAAAACATGTTTAGCTGCTGCTGCTGACAGCTCTGTTCTACTATGCAGATTGAAAATTCTCCATCCTTAACTTCAAGATGCAGCTCCTCTCTAATCTTCAACTTCTATGCTGCAAATTCAAAATTTCCTTCATTTATACCATCTTGAGGACACAGAATGCCCATCCTCACTCAGTCTCTAAGGAAGATGTTTGTAGCTTAATGTTTATTTAATTATTCCAGCTTCCACTCACAAGCCTGCATCTGCAACCAGTCCATTTTATGCCATCACCCTCCGCACACTTTCTGAACATAAGGGGCATAAAATGTATTACCTGAAGTAAAACAATCCATGGTGTTATTCTGAGCTATTCCAAAATAAGCTATAACTGAAAATAATCATAATTCCAGCTATGATAATTCAATAATGTAACTAAACCTGCAAGTCTGACCTGCAGGATTCTATTCTTTCCTCATTTGTATACATGATAATACAAAACTATTCCTCACTGTTTCTATAACAGGGGACAAGAAAAGTATTTTATTCTAAGAAAGTCCTAAGAGAACTTACACAGGAAGAAACTTGAAAAAGGCATTAAATAATTTCTGAGATGCAGATTATTCTCTCCCTCTCACAACACACACAAAAAAATAGAGATTTAATGAAGTGCAACAAATTCAAAAACAGTCATGGGAAATAACCTGACTTGCAAACATGTAATTAAACTGTGGAACTTGCTGCCACAGGACACCCTTACAAGCTTTCAGGAGGGATGTTGAAAGGATATAGAAATCTAGTGCTGGAAAACTTAGAAGTTTTTTTTTTAAGCCCTAAAATTCTGTGTTTGAGACCCTAATTTAACTACTGTACTTTGCCTTTTTTCTTTTTTAACCCCTTTCTAGGAAGCAGGGGGTGTGCACAAACAGAGATGGCGGCTGTACAGGATCACTCCCTAGTCTTGTCCAGGGTAACAGGTCTTGGGTGCACAACCATAGTGCACTGCAGGTTCATATTTAGACTGCTTATTCCTAACAGCTGCAAATTCTTCCAGATTTGCTCTTTTCCAAATAACTGCCTGGAACCAATCTGTATTTGCATTGTTTATTTCTTTTCCCTGGGTGTATGAATTTACATTTATTAGCACTGAACTGCATCTTACTGCATTCAGCCCACTGATCCGATTCTTCACGGCTACTCTGCTGTTTGGATTTGTGGTTAATAAATAATTCACTGTCTCAGGTTGACAGTGAAACTGTTGCTTTCCAGTTTCAGCAGCACTGGTGAATTCGGCCACAATTCAAACTCACTCTTCTCTAATTAGTGAACAAAACTATTAAATAAATTGTACCCTATTGCTTTCCTTAACAGTATCCCCCCAATACTTCTCCTGTCTGAAGTCTCTTCATTAACCATTACTCTGTCAAGCAAGCAGTACTCCTCTGGTGTCTATGTACTTCGGAAGTTGCTACTTATGCATTTATGTATTACAGCACTGCTCCAAACTGTGAATCAACAGGTCAGAGATCCCCAGACCCCAGGGGATTCCGTTACAGCCCACAAGCACATTTGAAATTCTAATCTTACGAATGCACCAATTTCAACTATTGCATTGGTAATCCCACCGTGCTTTGATCTGAATATGTTTCAGGCTTTTCCTTTCTGATTCTTTGCAGACATAGAATCACAGAATGGTTTGGGTTGGAAGGGACTTTAGAGATCACATAGCTCCAAGCCCCCTGCCACAAGCAGGGACATCTTCCACAAGACCAGGTTTCTCAAAGCCCTGACCAACCTAGCCATCACAAAACACTGTTTTTTTAGAAGTTCTGTATCCTCTACGAAGACTATACTGTACTTCCATGAAAGTCCATAAAGCCAAAGGACGATATTCACAGAGTATTGGATTAGACCTCCAGGTCTTTTAAAACATCTGGTATCAACTATGCTGATCAAGCCTACTCCTATTCACCCTGACCTTCTACACTTGATAAACAATCTTAAATGTAATATTAGATATGTCTGCATCTGTATTTCTACACCACACACTTCTACCTCTTAAAAAGAAGCTTTCGCAATTTAGACTACTGTATTAACAAAAAAACCCAACGTATAGCAGAGGCCAAAGATAAAAAGCACTTAGGCGCTCAAGGCGCGTTCCAACAGAACATCTTGGTGGTTTTTGATTAAGTGGGATGATAAGTGGATGAAAGCACACAGGGTGAAGGGTTTATAAATATATATATATACACACAAAAAAAAACCCCTACAAGTCTTTGTATGAAGATATATGTACTTGTAATGATAGCAAGTCAGAAATTGATCACAGCAGGGGGGAAGATCCACCACAGATTTCAAAGGTTGGGCATCTGAGTTTCTGGTTGTTCTGCTGCTCCTTCACAATACACACACATGCAGACTGAAATCTCAAAGCAAGAGATCTCAAAGCAAGCTTACCATTTGCCAATGATCTTACTGATGTAGCCAGCTTTCTTCAGCAACTCTGGAAGCAGTAATTCAGACTCTGGGATTCCTCCTACTATATCCTGTGGTGTGTATGCTGTGCAAAACAAACAAAAATCTTTCCGACTCTTAACAATATTAGAGAAAACAGCTCATGGCTACCCATCATTAGAAGCACTGTTACTAGATCAGAAATAGCAACTAGCTTGAAGTGCCAGCAGTATAACCCCTTGCAAGTTCTCCCAGCCCATGAGATGAAGAAAACAAATTAATTCAGAGAGATCAAAAGATCTCCACCCATTAGCACAGCATGGCCAGCAATAAAGGGGGCTGCCATCACAGAATGAAGTTAAGACCCTTGAAAGGGGCAGGTCATAAAGAAAGCAAGTGCTGTAGGCATGCATTGAAATTTCCTTTACTCTTGCAAATTTGCTTCCTATTTTCTAAGATTAAGGCATTTTTTCCCTAAATCTAATGATCACTAAACTTGCTCAGACTGCACAAGCTTAAAAGAATGATACCTCTCTCTTAGTCTACAGTTCTCTGGCCCTTGAACATCTAAGGTGTGACTTTGGTCAGGACAGAGACAGCCAAGCTAATTTGCTGATCCACAGTCTGAATCAGCACGTAGCTGCTGATTCCTGCCCAAACACGTGGCATCTGTCACGCTGGAATCAATCACAGGAACTAAAATCAACCCAGGGACATTATGAACTGGTAATCTTCCCGGGAAGCACCATCGGCACAACAGTGCTATGAAACTGCCAAGGCTGAAATGGTTAGAGAACTGGCTGCTGAATAAAACTGTAAGCAGCTTGTTCTTCACTCTGGGTGTTTTAACATACACCCCATGTGACTTTCTTTCACCAGACACCAATTAGACCACCCAGAGGAAACACTTCACAGCCAGCAGAAGCAAATGGATCAACCAGCCTTGTTTATGTCTCTTAATTTGAGGAGGTTTTCTGCTTGATGAGGAGGAAGCAATAAATTTCACGCTCATTACCAGCAGTTAACATGGTAATCTTTTTGTGCCACTCTGGAAGATCCATAGGGGAAGATCACCGAGCCAAGCCTTTGTTCAAAGCAATGCTTCCTACAAAGCACAGAGGAAAATCAAGAGAGGAAGGCAAATCAGGAGTGAAGCCCATACCGTTTCTGGCATGTGCATTTGTGGTGTAAAAACCATTCCTGACTGGAAGACGGCCCGTCAACAGCGCTGCCCTTGCTGCAAATAACAAAAAATGTTTTATTTTACGTGCATTCTCTGCTTAATATTAACATTACCATATTAAGGCTGAGGACAGCATGGTAACTGAAGCATGTCAGTGTCTTTTTGCCACAGCCAGCTAAGATCATTCACATTAGAACAGGCAGGAACTCCCCTCTCCAGTGAGCCATGGAGATAGCCACACTCTGATACGACACCATTTGACTTTCTCCAGGACAAACCTGACTGAAATTTGGCCTCTTTTTTAAATTACCCACTGCTGAAGAGTTCTTACTTTCAATAGTCAACGTAGCAGCCCTCCTATCTCAGTAATTATAAAAGGAACATCTGACATTTATATTTAAGAGGAAATCATAACATGAACTGATTAGATGCTTAAGGCTAGGTTTTCAAGCTTGCCTGAACAAAAGTCATGTAATGGTGAAGAAAGAGCTGTCCAGCTTTGACAATAGAAGTCAGGTCCTGACTGCAGGGAATATTTAAACAGATGTTTTACTTCAAGCATATACAGTACCACCGCTGGACTTAGTAGGACTTCAGCATATTTTAAATGCCTTTTCTCAGCAAGGACGTCATCAGCACACTGACAAATTATATCCTAAATGAAAGCCCAAACAGAAAGCTCCTGTTCCCCATTTTTGTTTCAGTTCTTGGCTGTCAATCAGATTTGAAAAGAAAAAAAAAACAGAAAGAGGGGAATAAAAGAAAGAAAATAAACCCACACCAGAGAAAAAACAATAAAGATAAAAATATCTGTGTCTCCCAGACCCAAACGTTTCTTTTATCTCTTGTCCCTTCCCCAAGTATCTTGCAAGCCACGAGGGTCAAAACCAGGACACAACCTGCTGCAGGATCGTCTCACCAAAGCCAATGGAATCAAATTATGTACAAACAATGTTCAGCAACAATTTAGGTAGTGCTTTGTTTATCCCAAAATAAGAAAGATGAAAAGAACTGCTATGACTGCAGTTTTTCAGAATACAAAACCATAATGTAAAAAATCCTTTAGCTAGACTGATTTGATCACTAAAACAGTGCTTTGTATGGACTGAAGATTGTAGGTTTTCCAACCAAAACATAAATAAAAAGGGAACAAAACGCAAGATCAAAGCACCAAATCCAAACTCTGCCCTGAGGGTAATCGCTGGTTTGGTTGCTAGTTTGTCAAATGCTGGCAAACATCCCAATCTTTTCAGAAGGTGGCATGCTTATACATTAGTTTAAAACTCAAGTTTACTTACATGGAGAACAGAGGGGGTTGGCAGTATAAAAATCCAGGAAAAGCATCCCTTCTGAAGCCATCTGGTCTAAGTTAGGAGTTTCCTTAGAAGGCTCTCCGAAAGCTCCCAAATCACCCCAACCCATCTGTAAAAAGACATCGAAAGATGTAAAAGTACTTCTACTCTTCCACAGCAATGCTTCTGGGCCCACGTAACACTGTTATTGTATCCCTTCATTTCTAAAGCTTTATAGTGCTCATCTCCCTACTTACGGAGTACTTCACAAATGTGATAAAAATTATCTTCCCCAACCCTGTGAAGGAGCGAACTATTACACTTCTCACTGAGGAATGGGAAAGAAGGCACACATGAGATTAACTGACTTGCTAATAGGCATTAAAACACTTGTAGCAGAACTGGGTAAGAACCCTGATGTCTTCACTCTTACTCAAGTGCCTGGTGACCGGCAAGCACACATATGTCAGGGAGGAAAAGGAAGTTACATGTGATATACTCGATGTTGTACAGCTGCAAAGTTTGACCCTTCAGCCCCTGGCTAAGTGTCTTTGCAGCGGATCCCAGGACTCCATCTCAGCCTGCTGAATCTGTCAATCCATCTGTGTATACGTAACTAGAAATGCAAAGGAAAGCTCTAAACCCCAAAGCAGTGCTGCAGGAAAAGGAAGAAAGCATTTACTTGAGAAGCAAGTCCTGGAGAGCAACCTGCCAGAGGCATCGCATGTCTTGAAATGTTGGTGAAACCAGTGTCTTGCTTATTTGCAAGACAGTGGTTTCCCCCTGCATCTTCTCCTGGCATATGAGGGGTCATATGCCAGAAGAACCATAAAATTGCCCTCATGTTGTCTACATTCATTGCTGAAAACTATTACTGGTAATAATACAAATAAAACTGACTTAAAACAGAAGGTTCTAGAAGGGAACAATTTAATGAGCAATTAGGCACCATGGTTGCTAGAGATTATATTATGCTTTAAAAAAGGCAATAGCTTTCTTTAATATAGATGCGTATCAGGTGAGCAACTGATAGGGAGGGTGTAATGTATCGAGATTTCTAGAAAGCCATCTGTTTGGCCCCATTTGAGAGTCTAACATTTACACTTCAGTGGTGCAGTTTGGAAAAGAAAACTGTTGAAGTGCTGCAGAGCTGCCTCTTGAGGTTGGAGCAAGGACCAAATAAACAGTACCGCCTAACACCAGGATGTGGAATTAAAATGGATTCAATGGGCTCCCCCTCCCCCTCCCCCCCCG